GTAGAAACGGTCGCACGCCTTCCATACACCTTACGGGATTTTCCGCGATTATCGTTCGATAATCGTGCAGTGTATGGGCACCTTTAGTAAACTGGTTCTACAGCACCAAAGGCGCTATTGAGTTTTCTCGGCATTGGAAACCCACACGCAGGACATGAACGTGTTACGACTGTAGCTTTTCTAAAGTTTTCCAGTTTGAGGAATATTAGGACAAAGGAGGGTTATTAGTAACTGGGCAAGGAGGCAAAGTTTGGCCTTGGGGGTGAGCGTCACGGCTGGGCTGCCCGTCATGTGGCATGCCGTGCCGCAGATTAGGCTGAGTCGCCTCACATGGCCTGAGAGTTGCCTGTCAGATGCTTCAGCTCTTTACCGCACTCAGGCGCGGCGGAGGTATTCCACGCGGTCCGGGAATGCAGCTGTTACCCCGAGCCTCTGACAGCCAACTCCCTCTGACCCTTCCCATGGCTGTCCCTTGTTTAGGTGTGGTGTAGATCTCTAGAAATAAAGGTTCTTCATCCATCTATCCATCTTTAAATAAATGTATCCATCTATCCTTTCATAAGTCTTTCCATCTGTCCTTCCGTAAATCCATCCACCCATCTATTCATCCATCCATCCACCCCTCCATCTATCCATCCATCCACCCCTCCACCTATCCATCCACCCATCCATCTATCCTTCCATAAATCTTTCCATCTGTCCTTCCGTAAATCCATCCACCCATCCATCCATCCACCCCTCCATCTATCCATCCATCCACCCATCCATCTATCCTTCCATAAATATATCCATCTATCCTTCCATAAATCTTTCCATCTGTCCTGTAAATCCATCCACCCATCTATTCATCCATCCATCCACCCCTCCATCTATCCATCCATCCACCCATCCATCTATCCTTAAATAAATATATCAATCTTTCCTTCCATAAATCTTTCCATATGTCCTTCTGTAAATCCATCCACCCATCTATTCATCCATCCATCCACCCCTCCATCTATCCTTCTATAAATATATCCATCTATCCTTCCATAAATCTTTCCATGTGTCCTTCTATAAATCCATCCACCCATCTATTCATCCATCCATCCACCCATCCATCTATCCTTCCATCCATCCACCCCTCCATCTATCGTTAAATAAATATATCTATCCTTCCATAAATCTTTTCATCTATCCTTCTATAAATCCCTCCACCCATCTATTCATCCATGCATCCACCCATCTATTCATCCATGCATCCACCCATCCATCTATCCTTAAATAAATATATCTATCCTTCCATAAATCTTTCCATCTATCCTTCCATAAATGCAACCATCCATTTATCCCTCCATAAAGCTCTCTATCCATCCCTCCACCCATCCATCCATTTATCCACCCTTCAATAAATGTATCCATCATATACCTCTATAAATCCATCCATCTATCTTTCTATACATGTATCCATCTATGCTTCCATAAATCCATCCATTATTCCTTTCATAAATCCATCCATCCGCCCATCTATTCATCAGCGATCCAGCTCAGGACAGGATTTCCCTCTAGGGTTTGTGAAGTTCCTCTTTACAAGCCAATGTTTACCAAATGTGTCCTGGTATCCCTGCCGTGCTCTCTTGGAGTCCTTTCTTCGCATTGCAGTTTATGTTTCCCTTTCCGGAATAGTTAGTAGAACCTTCTTGGCCGGGTCCAACGACACGATTCGTCCCGCTAAGGCCGTATGACTTCATGAATTTCAATCATCTGATAGATCTTGTAGCTGGTTGTGTGGTGACACGTCTCTCTATTAAATACTGCACCTCAATTTTTTTTTGGGGGGGAAGGGCTTTCTGCTACAAGAACCCAAGCCACGCTTGCTTTAGTTTTGGGAGAGAGCAGGTCTCGGCTCTGTATTGCCATCCCCAGGGCCGGTGCTAGGATTCTTGCCAACACAGGCAAAGTTAAAAAAAATTCGCCCCCCCCCCCCGCAACCAACACCCTCCCCCCGACCCCCTGTCACGCTGGCCCTGCTCCCTATCAGTATGTTTTTGTTTGTTTTTTCACTTACCTTCGGTGCGGCGAGTCAGCGCTGGTCCGGTGGGAGGAGCTCCAGGTGGGGTCCTAATTTAGCTGGCCGGCGACTGCCAGAGGATCTCGACACGCGCGGCACCTCAGGCAGTCGCCTGAGGTGACCAAGTACTTGTCAAAATGCCCTGTTTTTTCCGCCCTCACCCTGCAGCGCCCTCAGGCGGCCGCCTGACTTGCCTTGCAATAGCGCCGGGCCTGGCCATCCCAATGAAAGAGGATGATTGGGTTTGTTAGAGGATTGTCTGATTCCCATATGGTTCATAAGATAAGGAAGCGCTGGCCAAAGTCAGACAGCATGCTATCTTCTGCATACCTCCAGCTCACACCAATGATGTCTTTATCTGCGTCGTGTGACTTTAGCGCGTTCAGCAGTTCTGAAATACAGAAGTGTGAGTGGACCATAAATAATAAACATGCGTATACACATTTCAGGAACTTCCCAAAACTGAATCTTTTTGTTATAGAAAAAAGAGGATGTTTTCCCACACATGTGACTTCCTGTCCAATACATTCAGCGCTAATTGTGAAGCCTCCTTAAAGGAGAACTATGAGGGAGGGGGGGTGCTTTTCACTCATTCTCATAGTTCTAGCCGACCTGTGACAATGAGACTGTCACAGGTCGGCTCAGTAGATCGGGAAGTGAGCGAACACATACCGGCGTTCACTCCTTTCTTGATCCTGTCACGGCACAGAGCCGTGACAGGGGAGGGACTGGATTCCCCCCTCCCCGCTCCAATCCTCCAGCGCTGACTGGTGGAACGGACGGGGGAGGGGGCGGGTACAGCTGGCTCTGCCTCTAGATAGGCAGAGCCAGCTGTCAGTCACGCAGCTGGGCGGATCCGTTTCACCTGCGGTGTCTCAGTATACTGCGAGCTGTAGCTCTCTATATACTGAGCCTAGGGTGACGGGAGGACGCTAGTTTGTGTCCTCCTGTTACCCTTAGGAGAACTATGGGGAATAGCCCTGACCCCATACTTCTCCTTTAAGCCTGAAATGTAAAACAACAATAAGCTGTGCAATATTCAGGGCGGATATGACCCGTATCAGCAAATAAACTTTTATTCTTTTCCACAAACAATAAAAACGGCTTATATTCAGCAGAATGACAAAAATCAACAGCGCTTATTGTCAGCAAATACAAGATTTGGCTCAGCGCCTGTATACCAAGTCGCAGCCTCAGGGTTAGAGTCCCAGCCTGCTCACAGAGGGTTTCAGTATGGACACAGGTGCCCCAGCAGTGTCTCGGTAGACTATTCCACAACTTAATACACTCGGCCATGTGTCCTGCTCCAAACACTCCTCACAGACACAGACTGACTGGCTTCCTGTTCCTTTTTAACACACCCTCTGGCTGGAAAATGTAATTACCCGAATTGGCTGTAGTCAGGGAGGGAGGCAAGTTCTGTCCCACCCAAAACTCTCTCTGATCCTCCGGATTCCGGGACCCCATGTATAATTAACATCCCTGGAAAGACTGCCTAGCAGTTTCCTTTAGGCTGGGTTCACACCTAGGCGTATCTAATATGCGCGATTCGTGGTAAAAAAAAAACGCGTGACAAACGCACGTTTCCGAGGGCTACTTGGCTGTATCCCAATGGATACGTGCGGCAATATGCCCCAAAGAAGCTCCTGTACTTCTTTGGGCGTAGGGCTTTTTGCAGCGCGTTCCTACGGCCTGTAATACGCCCAGGTGTGAACCATGCGCATAGGAAATAAAGGGATTTCGGTGTTTAAGCGTTTTGCAGAGCGTAGGAACGCGCTACAAAACGCCCAGGTGTGAACCGGGCCTTACAAGTCCGAACCCGGAACCCCCTCACCCTGCTTGGCGAGAACCCTGAATACAAGGTGACCTCAACGGGACCACCACCTAAACAAGGGAGGGATATACCGTCCATCCAGGACCCATTCCTGACGTCCTGTATAGCTGCGATGACAGTAAATGTTCTCACCTGACATGGGAACTTTTTACAAGTCCCACCAAATCCTTGGCAGCGGTTGGAGGGCGGAAGTGATCATAGGACATTGTTCATTACCTCTGAAAGCCGTTCTGCTGGAAGGTGATGTCGGTTTATCACCCAGTCATCCGAGGACATTCCGTGTTGTGGGATTCCCTACAGTGCTGTATGCTTTAATAACTTGAAGATAGGTCTTGATGAGTGTTAAACAATTTGCAGTATCCTGCAGCAAGACAAATTATATACAGTATATGTATTCAGGACAAACAAATGTATTTATCATTGATATTTATATAGCGCTCCTGATATTTATGCAGCGCTTTACTTAGTGCACATTCACATCTGTCCCCGCCCTCGAGGAGCTTAAAATCTATGGTCCCTATCTCACATGCATAGAGGGCCAATTTAGACAGGAGACAATTAACCTTCCAGCATGTCTTTGGGGTAGTTTGTGTCTCTGCCCCTCCCACAATGGTGAGATTCCCCCCAGTAGTTTGTGTCTGTGCCCCTCCCACAATGGTGAGATTCCCCCCAGTAGTTTGTGTCTCTGCCCCTCCCACAATGGTGAGATTTCCTCCAGTAGTTTGTGTCTGTGCCCCTCCCACAATGGTGAGATTCCCCCCAGTAGTTTGTGTCTCTGCCCCTCCCACAATGGTGAGGTTTCCTCCAGTAGTTTGTGTCTGTGCCCCTCCCACAATGGTGAGATTCCCCCCCAGTAGTTTGTGTCTCTGCCCCTCCCACAATGGTGAGATTTTCTCCAGTAGTTTGTGTCTCTGCCCCTCCCACAATGGTGAGATTTCCTCCCAGTAGTTTGTGTCTCTGCCCCTCCCACAATGGTGACATTTCCTCCAGTAGTTTGTGTCTCTGCCCCTCCCACAATGGTGAGATCTCCCTGCATGAGGTATCTGTATCTGCTGTTGGTTTGGATGACATACGGAGACACATTGTAAATGGATTCCCTCTCTGTTCACTTTGCAGGAGACGTCACCAACCTGAGCCTTGAACACTCCTTCGATAACACCAGTAATGATGTTGGCAAATGGGTCCTGGCGTTATACAGCGGCCTGTTTGCATATGGCGGATGGTAAGTGCCCTTTTACTGGCTCCGTATTATTGTTACATTTCCTGTGCCGTGCTGTAGTCTCTACAATGGAAACAATGACGTAAACAATGCTGGTTTTACAGGAAAGTATCTTCTCCAGAAATCTTCAATCTGGTCACATGATGCTGCGGGGGTCCCCTTTGCCTCTTCTGCGGAAGGGTGGTCCTCAGTATTGCAGTGAGTGGCACAAGAACTGCTCTCGGCACCTTTATACCGGCAATGCAAGGTGCTTTGGTGACACTGCCTCAGGGGGCGGGTCCATGACACCCTGCACTCACAGTGTGTCCTCAGTCTTTCAGTTTCAGTGTTGTGTATCATTTAGTCAGGAAGACTGAGGACATCTTGTGGTGAAAATAAATTATTGCAGGAGACAGCACCAAAAGGGGAGGTGGGTAGCAGCCAAATCTGCTTCTTTTTTTATAACACCCACTGTGGGCAATTAACAGAAATAGCCCGAAGTTGGGCTTTAAGTGCTAAAATGCAAAGTGCATTAACCCAAAGGAGCTGCTTGGACCACACAGGACTGGTAGATACAAGTTGCATCAATTTGCATTTCTTGGATGTGTAACTTATAGAAGAAATAAAGTGCAACAATGTCTCAGAGTTTTAATGTCTGAATCTGAGTTCTGATTGGCTGAGTTTTGTTGCGTGGGATTATTACATAGATGTCAGACCGTCTCTAACTCCTCCCTCTGCTCTGTTTCTGTCTGCAGGAATTACTTGAACTTTGTCGTTGAAGAAATGATAGAACCTTACAAGTAAGTGAACTGGCAGCTCTCACTACCCCGGCAGGGCCCATGGCCCCCAAAACTCACCCTCGGGGGGCCGATACATCTCTACCAATGTTACCATGTCACATGTTCCAGGAGATTCCTTATAATTTATATATATTTGTATCATTGTATTTGTCTGCAGAAACCTACCTCGCGCCATCATTATCTCAATGCCCATCGTGACCTTGGTCTACGTCCTCACCAACCTGGCCTATTTCACCACGCTCACACCGGAACAGATGCTGACCTCTGAGGCTGTGGCCGTGGTAAGTTGTTATTATTGATAATTTTGCCCTTATAAAGAGAAAACATAAACCGCAGCGCTGTACAATCTGGGGAAATCACATTAGAGAGCAGGATTAGTCTAATCCTCAAAGGAACAAAAAGTAGGGCAGCCTTGACCACAAGAGCTTACAATCTGATGGGAACAATGGAAGAATACGTTCACATGGTAGATGAATCTGCTTTATACGTCTCTATGGGGTGGACCGGTCTACGGAGAGATTCAGCCAGCTAGTCTCCTGACAGACACTAAGGGCCTGTTCACACCATATGCAGTGCGTTCCAGCCGGAACGCACTGCATCCCATTGCGGTCGGCTCACTTTTTTGCCGGGCAGGAGGGGGCGTGGCGGGCCATTGAAGTGAATGGCGCCGTAGCCACGCCCTCCGGGCGCAATGCGATCGCCCGCACGGGATCGCAGGGCACATTGTGCCTGCGGTCCGGTGCGGTCAAAGTATTGCTTGCAGCATTTGGACCGGACCAGACCGCAGGCACTATCTCGTGCGGGCGATCGCATTGTGGCCGGAGGGCGTTGCTATGGTGCCATTCACTACAATGGCCCGCCATGCCCCCTTCTTCCCGGCAAAAAAGTGAGCCGGCCGCAATGCGATGCTGTGCGTTCTGGCCTGAACATGGCCGGAATGCACTGCATATGGTGTGAACAGGCCCTAAAGGGTGAGAAAAGTTAGGCGGCAGGTGTAATATTTCACATTCACCCGAGGCTTGAGGTTTCATCAGGTCGCTATACTCCAGTTTAATTACATAAAGTTGTCTTCCCTTCCCTCCTTCAAAGCATTTAAGTCTGTTGCCAAACTTCAGCTATGTCTTTTGTTTTGTGAAACATTGTGTCCAACGCCTTCCTCTCTTCCTGCAGGATTTTGGGAATTACCACTTGGGTGTCATGGCCTGGATCATCCCCGTATTCGTGGGGCTCTCATGTTTTGGATCTGTCAATGGCTCTCTCTTTACCTCTTCCAGGTAACCTGACTTGATGCCGGGATGTCTCCCCTCTGATCAATGTTTATAAACAATGTTACTTGTATCTCTCTATCTCCCCCTCTGATCAATGTGTATAAACAATGTTACTTTGTATCTCTCTATCCCCCTCTGATCAATGTTTATAAACAATGTTACTTGTATCTCTCTATCTCCCCCTCTGATCAATGTGTATAAACAATGTTACTTTGTATCTCTCTATCCCCCTCTGATCAATGTTTATAAACAATGTTACTTGTATCTCTCTATCTCCCCCTCTGATCAATGTGTATAAACAATGTTACTTTGTATCTCTCTATCCCCCTCTGATCAATGTTTATAAACAATGTTACTTGTATCTCTCTATCTCCCCCTCTGATCAATGTGTATAAACAATGTTACTTTGTATCTCTCTATCCCCCTCTGATCAATGTTTATAAACAATGTTACTTGTATCTCTCTATCTCCCCCTCTGATCAATGTGTATAAACAATGTTACTTTGTATCTCTCTATCCCCCTCTGATCAATGTTTATAAACAATGTTACTTGTATCTCTCTATCTCCCCCTCTGATCAATGTGTATAAACAATGTTACTTTGTATCTCTCTATCCCCCTCTGATCAATGTTTATAAACAATGTTACTTGTATCTCTCTATCTCCCCCTCTGATCAATGTGTATAAACAATGTTACTTTGTATCTCTCTATCCCCCTCTGATCAATGTTTATAAACAATGTTACTTGTATCTCTCTATCTCCCCCTCTGATCAATGTGTATAAACAATGTTACTTTGTATCTCTCTATCCCCCTCTGATCAATGTTTATAAACAATGTTACTTGTATCTCTCTATCTCCCCCTCTGATCAATGTGTATAAACAATGTTACTTTGTATCTCTCTATCCCCCTCTGATCAATGTTTATAAACAATGTTACTTGTATCTCTCTATCTCCCCCTCTGATCAATGTGTATAAACAATGTTACTTTGTATCTCTCTATCCCCCTCTGATCAATGTTTATAAACAATGTTACTTGTATCTCTCTATCTCCCCCTCTGATCAATGTGTATAAACAATGTTACTTTGTATCTCTCTATCCCCCTCTGATCAATGTTTATAAACAATGTTACTTGTATCTCTCTATCTCCCCCTCTGATCAATGTGTATAAACAATGTTACTTTGTATCTCTCTATCCCCCTCTGATCAATGTTTATAAACAATGTTACTTGTATCTCTCTATCTCCCCCTCTGATCAATGTGTATAAACAATGTTACTTTGTATCTCTCTATCCCCCTCTGATCAATGTTTATAAACAATGTTACTTGTATCTCTCTATCTCCCCCTCTGATCAATGTGTATAAACAATGTTACTTTGTATCTCTCTATCCCCCTCTGATCAATGTTTATAAACAATGTTACTTGTATCTCTCTATCTCCCCCTCTGATCAATGTGTATAAACAATGTTACTTTGTATCTCTCTATCCCCCTCTGATCAATGTTTATAAACAATGTTACTTGTATCTCTCTATCTCCCCCTCTGATCAATGTGTATAAACAATGTTACTTTGTATCTCTCTATCCCCCTCTGATCAATGTTTATAAACAATGTTACTTGTATCTCTCTATCTCCCCCTCTGATCAATGTGTATAAACAATGTTACTTTGTATCTCTCTATCCCCCTCTGATCAATGTTTATAAACAATGTTACTTGTATCTCTCTATCTCCCCCTCTGATCAATGTGTATAAACAATGTTACTTTGTATCTCTCTATCCCCCTCTGATCAATGTTTATAAACAATGTTACTTGTATCTCTCTATCTCCCCCTCTGATCAATGTGTATAAACAATGTTACTTTGTATCTCTCTATCCCCCTCTGATCAATGTTTATAAACAATGTTACTTGTATCTCTCTATCTCCCCCTCTGATCAATGTGTATAAACAATGTTACTTTGTATCTCTCTATCCCCCTCTGATCAATGTTTATAAACAATGTTACTTGTATCTCTCTATCTCCCCCTCTGATCAATGTGTATAAACAATGTTACTTTGTATCTCTCTATCCCCCTCTGATCAATGTTTATAAACAATGTTACTTGTATCTCTCTATCTCCCCCTCTGATCAATGTGTATAAACAATGTTACTTTGTATCTCTCTGTCTCCCTGTGTAGCACATACAGTGTCCAAAACTGAAATGAAACCTGATAGAATGCAGTATTAAGCCTCATTTGTTGATCTTGGTGAAAACTAATTATGTACTTCCAACTCTCTTCTCTGCAGACTGTTCTTTGTGGGAGCCAGAGAAGGTCACCTACCATCTCTCCTGTCGATGATCCACCCGCGACTGCTGACCCCTGTGCCGTCTCTCATCTTCACAGTGAGTCCGAGCACTTTCCTTTGGTTTATGTGTCCGGCTTCTGTCCAGCAGTTGCCAGTTTTATACAATGATATCTGTTAGACGACTTTATCACTGAGGCTGAAGGAAGAGCTGTCTGACAGCAATGGACCGTGTCTGCTCAATGTGTGTCAGTGTAGATTCAACCAGTGAGGCGTAGAACAGGGTGACAACACAGGAACACAACTGGAATACGGCAAAACATTGTCACCCCATAACAGACAGTGCCTGAATAAGAATCTTTATGGCAGGATCACCAGGGGTTTTTATGAAAGCTGAAGATTCAATGCGGACTCTACTCTTCAGTCTTCTATCTGACCTCCGTCCTCCCCTTCAGTCTTCTATCTGACCTCCGGCCTTCCCTTCAGTCTTCTATCTGACCTCCGGCCTTCCCTTCAGTCTTGCACAGTTGTAGCGGCTCCTCCCCTCTTCCTCTGATGTCACTGCACACTGGGAGCTGCTCACAATGTGCATTAGAAGCTGCAGTACATCAGACAGAGCTCCGCCTCATTTCCTGGAGGCCGTGCAGCATCATCTAGCACTTTCCTCCCCAGCCTGACTGTCCCTGGCCCCGCCCCTTTTACTCATTGGATTTCAGTTCTTTCAATCATGGAGGCTCAGCACCTGCATTAGGTAATCCTGATTTGGTGAGATTGTTACTTTGTCCTGAATAGGAGTACAGGTTCTCTTTAAAAAAAAATAAAAGCTGTGGCCATAGTGAGAATTTTATGAAGACGTCCCGTGTCTGAGCACAGGACTGTCAGCATGTCACTTCCACCGTGTCACATGTCCCATCTGCCATACACTGATATCAGAAAACAGCGCGTAGCTCAGTGTTCAAAGAGCAAGAAGTAAATAATCAGAGCACTCAAAGTTTATCTATAGTTAGTCTTGTGTGGAATAGATCCCCTGTCAGGTTTTTGTTGTAATTAAATGAGTGAAGTGCCGAAACACGAGGTAATCGTCCGGATACAAAGACCAAGGAAACTGGGAATCCTTTGGGGTACATTAAAGGAGAACTATGGGGTCAGTGTTTTTCCCCATAGTTCTCCTTAGGGTAACGGGAGGACACAAACTAGCGTCCTCCCGTCACCCTAAGCTCAGTATATAGCGAGCTACAGCTCGCGGTATACTGAGACGCCGGAGCGGATCCGACGTAGATGACGAGATCCGCCCAGCTGCGTGAGTGACAGCTGTCTCTGCCTATCTAGAGGCAGAGCCAGCTGTGCCCGCCCCCTCCCCCGTCCGTTCCGCCAGTCAGCGCTGGCGGAGCGTGGAGGGGGGAATCCAGCCCCTCCCCCTGTCACGGCTCTCTGCCGTGACAGGATCGAGAGGTGAGCGAACGCCAGTATGTGTTCGCTCGCCTCCCGATCTACTGAGCCGACCTGTGACAGTCTCATTGTCACAGGTCGGCTAGAACTATGAGGTGAGTGGAAATCCCCCCCCCCCCCTCATAGTTCTCCTTTAAGTGATTTGCTCGGAGTTCAGCTTTAATGATATCAAATGAAAACTGTAACTTGTATTACATTTGCCTCCCTAACATTACATGCCCCGTCTGATTCTCCCCCTCCCCCGCAGTGCGCCATGACGCTCCTCTACGCCTTCTCCAACGACATCTTCTCCGTCATCAACTTCTTCAGCTTCTTCAACTGGCTGTGCGTGGCTTTGGCGATCATCGGTATGATGTGGCTCCGGTACAAGAAGCCGGAACTGGAGAGACCAATCAAGGTAAGGAAAGGGTGACCACACAGAGAACATTATTGGCGATAAAGAGGCCCTGTCATGAAGATTAGACAGAGCATCAGCGGCTCCTAAAGGGGGCGGTGATCACTCCTGATAGCCAATGCAGGAAGCATGAAAGGGATCCCAGCGCCTCTGGTCAGGGTGGTGTGATGGCTCCGGCCCAGTGATGGGAAGGGCCGGGTATGTGTAATGGCTGGAGAAAGCACCGCAATCCAGGTTATTGTAGTCAGTGCTTTCCCCCCCAAAATTAAAGATGGCTGCCCATAGGGACTAATCACTGCAGCAGTGTGGTCAGCGGAGATTGGTGACCCGCTTATAATAGCTGGGGACATGATTTCCTCTTACAGATTATCTGATCCCCTCACAAGCTCTGTGCCTCTGCCCTTCACATCAGTACTGCTCATGCAGGAGTAGAACAGGGAAGTGGCATCAGTCGAGTTTTGAGATCATCATATTTTCCCCTGACTTGAACCTCCTCAGCCCTGAGATGCTTAGCATGGGGCGCACACAGAAACAAACATTCATACCCTCCTAGACATAAAAACACCATAAGCAGTAAGATTTTTTTGTTATTGTAGAGGCGGAGGGAGGCGAATGGGTCATGTGATCCGTCCATCCTCACCCTGAGCGCGCGCCTTATAATGGGAGATGAGCGGCAGGAGTCGGAGCATCCTCATATTCGTCTGGCTTGTCACGGCTTGAGGGCTTACGTACAATTATACCTATAAAAAAAAATTAAGCCGGGCCATTAAATCACAATAAGCGTTTGGAATTCTCGCTTTTCGCACAGACGATAATATCTGCCCTGGGGCGGCTTTTATCTGCGGCGGGGAGACGTGATGAAGCCGGTTAGTGCCCGCTCCGCTAAATGCCAATAAAACAGACTTGAGAGCAGATGGAGGAGGCCCGTTGAAGGAAGTTGTCCCAGCGGCTTATAAAGTGAACCTGAGCTCAAAAAGAGAAGATTTATCTTATTATGGGGAACATCGAGAAATGTGAACTGTGTCCAAGCAGAACAATACATTTCCCGTGCCTAGGCACCCCTATTATGTATCCTCATAGCTGTATATCTGCAGTGTGACATCTCAGGCACTGCTGCCTCTGACTGCTAGTGTGAGGAGATTTGGTGATGTCAGTACTGTGATGCTGAGTGTTCTCTTTGCTGGAGAGGAAGCTGGACCTGAGGACCTGCAGTGCAAGGATCTCCCTGCTTCTGCTTTATCCACTGAGTGACTGTGGGGGGACATTAGAGAGTAAGCTCCTCTGTACAGAGACTGATGTGACTGTGGGGAGACATCAGAGTGTAAGCTCCTCAGTACAGAGACTGATGTGACTGTGGGGAGACATCAGAGTGTAAGCTCCTCAGTACAGAGACTGATGTGACTGTGGGGAGACATCAGAGTGTAAGCTCCTCAGTACAGAGACTGATGTGACTGTGGGGAGACATCAGAGTGTAAGCTCCTCAGTACAGAGACTGATGTGACTGTGGGGAGACATCAGAGTGTAAGCTCCTCAGTACAGAGACTGATGTGACTGTGGGGAGACATCAGAGTGTAAGCTCCTCAGTACAGAGACTGATGTGACTGTGGGGAGACATCAGAGTGTAAGCTCCTCAGTACAGAGACTGATGTGACTGTGGGGAGACATCAGAGTGTAAGCTCCTCAGTACAGAGACTGATGTGACTGTGGGGAGACATCAGAGTGTAAGCTCCTCAGTACAGAGACTGATGTGACTGTGGGGAGACATCAGAGTGTAAGCTCCTCAGTACAGAGACTGATGTGACTGTGGGGAGACATCAGAGTGTAAGCTCCTCAGTACAGAGACTGATGTGACTGTGGGGAGACATCAGAGTGTAAGCTCCTCAGTACAGAGACTGATGTGACTGTGGGGAGACATCAGAGTGTAAGCTCCTCAGTACAGAGACTGATGTGACTGTGGGGAGACATCAGAGTGTAAGCTCCTCAGTACAGAGACTGATGTGACTGTGGGGAGACATCAGAGTGTAAGCTCCTCAGTACAGAGACTGATGTGACTGTGGGGAGACATCAGAGTGTAAGCTCCTCAGTACAGAGACTGATGTGACTGTGGGGAGACATCAGAGTGTAAGCTCCTCAGTACAGAGACTGATGTGACTGTGGGGAGACATCAGAGTGTAAGCTCCTCAGTACAGAGACTGATGTGACTGTGGGGAGACATCAGAGTGTAAGCTCCTCAGTACAGAGACTGATGTGACTGTGGGGAGACATCAGAGTGTAAGCTCCTCAGTACAGAGACTGATGTGACTGTGGGGAGACATCAGAGTGTAAGCTCCTCAGTACAGAGACTGATGTGACTGTGGGGAGACATCAGAGTGTAAGCTCCTCAGTACAGAGACTGATGTGACTGTGGGGAGACATCAGAGTGTAAGCTCCTCAGTACAGAGACTGATGTGACTGTGGGGAGACATCAGAGTGTAAGCTCCTCAGTACAGAGACTGATGTGACTGTGGGGAGACATCAGAGTGTAAGCTCCTCAGTACAGAGACTGATGTGACTGTGGGGAGACATCAGAGTGTAAGCTCCTCAGTACAGAGACTGATGTGACTGTGGGGAGACATCAGAGTGTAAGCTCCTCAGTACAGAGACTGATGTGACTGTGGGGAGACATCAGAGTGTAAGCTCCTCAGTACAGAGACTGATGTGACTGTGGGGAGACATCAGAGTGTAAGCTCCTCAGTACAGAGACTGATGTGACTGTGGGGAGACATCAGAGTGTAAGCTCCTCAGTACAGAGACTGATGTGACTGTGGGGAGACATCAGAGTGTAAGCTCCTCAGTACAGAGACTGATGTGACTGTGGGGAGACATCAGAGTGTAAGCTCCTCAGTACAGAGACTGATGTGACTGTGGGGAGACATCAGAGTGTAAGCTCCTCAGTACAGAGACTGATGTGACTGTGGGGAGACATCAGAGTGTAAGCTCCTCAGTACAGAGACTGATGTGACTGTGGGGAGACATCAGAGTGTAAGCTCCTCAGTACAGAGACTGATGTGACTGTGGGGAGACATCAGAGTGTAAGCTCCTCAGTACAGAGACTGATGTGACTGTGGGGAGACATCAGAGTGTAAGCTCCTCAGTACAGAGACTGATGTGACTGTGGGGAGACATCAGAGTGTAAGCTCCTCAGTACAGAGACTGATGTGACTGTGGGGAGACATCAGAGTGTAAGCTCCTCAGTACAGAGACTGATGTGACTGTGGGGAGACATCAGAGTGTAAGCTCCTCAGTACAGAGACTGATGTGACTGTGGGGAGACATCAGAGTGTAAGCTCCTCAGTACAGAGACTGATGTGACTGTGGGGAGACATCAGAGTGTAAGCTCCTCAGTACAGAGACTGATGTGACTGTGGGGAGACATCAGAGTGTAAGCTCCTCAGTACAGAGACTGATGTGACTGTGGGGAGACATCAGAGTGTAAGCTCCTCAGTACAGAGACTGATGTGACTGTGGGGGAGGGGACATTAGAGAGTAAGCTCCTCTGTACAGAGACTGATGTGACTGGTGTCCTCCCAGGTTATGAAGATTTGGGGTCAGGCAGTTTATCGGGAAAAAGGATACAATAAGTCCCTTTGAAGTGTTATCGGCCGATCTTCCCGCGGAGGGTGGGGGGGGAGGCGCTGCAGGAAAACGATTTGTTTATCTCTGATAACTATTTAAAGCGACTCTTTTCTTTTCCCGCGGAGTGCAGCGGGTTCACTTGACGCTCCGACACAGAGAACTGACCTCGGCGATTGAAGCGAGAGATAATTGCTGGAAATGTGAAGAGTCGCTGCCCCCCATTCAGGGCATCCTCCATGCTGTATGATCTTGGCTGGGGCCCGTTCGGGGGTGGGGGGCCCGTTCCTGCAGAGTCAGTGTTTTTGTTATGACTTCCTTCAGACACCGCGGCCCTTTTTTTTATTGGTGGTTGAGCCCCCTGACCTCAACAACTCTTCCTTGGCCTCCGCTGGGACCGCTATTGTCAGACTTCCTGAGGACGTTCACCTGCTGCGGCGAGGTGCGGTCCCTGCGCCAGATCAGTCTACGTACAAAGCCTGAGATTGTGGAGGAGATCTGCAGGCTGATACATGGGAAGAGAGAGCACAGATATAAGATATATTATACAGGAGTGACATCACCGCCCTCCAGATATAAGATATATTATACAGGAGTGACATCAACGCCCTCCAGATATAAGATATATTATACAGGAGTGACATCACCGCTCCCCAGATATAAGATATATTATACAGGAGTGACATCACCGCCCTCCAGATATATTATACAGGAGTGACATCACCGCCCTCCGGATATAAGATATGTTATACAGGAGTGACATCACCGCCCTCCGGATATAAGATATATTATACAGGAGTGACATCACCGCTCCCCAGATATAAGATATATTATAGAGGAGTGACATCACCGCTCTCCAGATATAAGATATATTACGCAGGAGTGACATCACCGCTCCCCAGATATATTGTGACATCACCGCCCTCCAGATACAAGATATATTACGCAGGAGTGACATCACCGTTCCCCAGATATATTGTGACATCACCGCTCTCCAGATACAATATATATTACGCAGGAGTGACATCACCACCCTCCAGATATAAGATATATTATACAGGAGTGACATCACCGCCCTCCAGATATAAGATATATTACGCAGGAGTGACATCACCACCCTCCAGATATAAGATATATTATACAGGAGTGACATCACCGCCCTCCAGATATATTGTGACATCACCGCTCTCCAGATACAATATATATTACGCAGGAGTGACATCACCGCCCTCCAGATATATTATACAGGAGTGACATTACCGCTCCCCAGATATATTGTGACATCACCGCCCTCCAGATATACGATATATTATACAGGAGTGACATCACCGCCCTCCAGATACAAGACATATTATACAGGAGTGACATCACCTTACGCAGGAGTGACATCACCGCCCTCCAGATATATTATACAGGAGTGACATTACCGCTCCCCAGATATATTGTGACATCACCGCCCTCCAGATATACGATATATTATACAGGAGTGACATCACCGCCCTCCAGATATAAGATATATTATACAGGAGTGACATCACCGCCCTCCAGATATATTGTGACATCACCGCTCTCCAGATACAATATATATTACGCAGGAGTGACATCACCGCCCTCCAGATATATTATACAGGAGTGACATTACCGCTCCCCAGATATATTGTGACATCACCGCCCTCCAGATATACGATATATTATACAGGAGTGACATCACCGCCCTCCAGATACAAGACATATTGTGACATCACGGTATGATATAAATGACATGTGACGTTGGTTCTCTCTTGCAGGTTAATCTGGCTCTCCCCATCTTCTTCATCTTGGCCTGCATATTCCTGATTGTCGTGTCGTTCTATATGACGCCCGTGGAATGCGGGATCGGCTTCATCATCGTCTTATCGGGGGTCCCTGTGTTCTATTTCGGGGTCTGGTGGCAGAATAAGCCGGATTGGCTCGAGCAGGGTATACGTAAGTATCTCTTGAGGAAGGGAGGGGGAGTGATGGGATCAGCAGTCCTGATATGACCTCCGACCTGGAGACCCTCAAACACGAGAACCAAAGTTTTTTTAGTCTTGGAGAGGAAAGAAGAGGTAATGGAGATGTAAAGTCCCAGCGTTTCCTCTCCTGTTATAACATCAGCACTGTACCAGGAATACATAGTAGAGTTTCAAGCTTACATGAAAAATCCTTTTTATGTAGTGAGCGCCGCCTTCCGTCTGCCCATCACTCCCAATATCTTCCTGGATTCCCAGCATGCTTTGCAGCTCTTTCCCTGCTTACCTTGCCTGTGTAGGCAAGAATCCTAGCACCGGCCCTGCATGCAGTCCTGGGCGCCGGGCTGGTAGTTGTTTTCTACATTTAGCCCGGCTTTGAAGACGCTATGAATTACTGAAGACGCTATGGGCGTCTTCAGTAATTCAGGTTACAATCTTCTCGGTGGATCTGGTTATCAGGAGCGGGATGGAACTTCAATATAGAAATACAGATTTGTTTTTCCTTTTTGGCCGCAGATAAAAAAATGTCCTGCCTTTCTCCTATAAAATTGGCGATTTTTTAAATTTTTTTATTATAACAGTTAAAAAATTCATTTTCGCTGCCGGCGTTTCCGATTTTCCGTCCATATATTTTCCTTATGGAATGATTTGGGTGATGATTTGAGGAGGACACGGAGCCGCGCAGCGCGACGTAGCCAGCAATAAAAAGCTGCAATAAAACACAGGGAGCTTGTCCGTACCGGCCCGGAGGGAGTTCACCGCCTGGGCGTCTCTTGTGGTTATCGGCGTGTCAGTGCAATGGGCGCCGTGTTGTATTTCGGCTGCCGAAGTATATAAAATCTCATGTAGGGCATCAGACACAACCTGATGGAGGTCGAACCTTGTGTTACCCATAGAGGTGAATCAGTTCTCAACTCATAGAGTAGCCGGTCCCTATGAACATCTTCAGTTTATAGTCTTCTAGACCCATGGTTCTCAACTGGTGGGTCGTGACCCAAAAGTGGGTCGCGACCCCGCGTTCGCCGGGTCGCCGTGTGCCTTCCACTTTTCTAGGTGAGAGTCTCTTAGCCTCCTCCTAGTGCAGCACTGTCAGTTCTCACGCAGAGCAGCCATTCAGAATATGCTGCCCGGCGTCGAGTGTCAGCTTGAGGTGGGCTGGAGCTATGACCACGAGGGAGCTCCATCCATAAGTGCATTGCTTAGAGCTCCCTCACGTGCCCTGTAAAGGTGCCTGGACCGGAGTGACATCACATTCTGGCTCCTGGGAACCTCTACAGGGCGCATACGGAGGTTGTACAAACTATGCATGTATGGATGGAGCTCCATTACAGCCCAGCACTGGACCCCCAGCTGATGATCCACTCCAGTTCTTGTAATGGCACCCCAAACACATCTTGCGCCTACAGTTCAATCGCCCGCACCGGAACGCACGATATTGCAATGCCGTGTGTTCCATTGCAATGCATCTTGTGTCACCACTTAATGACCAAAGACAAATGCGGGTCCAGAGGTTACACAGGTTGAGAACCTCTGTTCTAGACGGATCTGGTTATTAGTAACAGGAAAGAACTTAAAGAAACTCATTTCTAGTTTTGATTTTAGAGACTAGGTGTGCACCGATACTGGTTTTTCGGTATCGAGTACCGATATTTTTATTTCAGTACTCGCCGATACCGGAAGTCCCATTAAGGAAGCCAGACGGCGTGTAAAGACTCGCCACCCGGCTTACTGATGACAAGAAAGCATGGAGCCGGCTTTCTGGCCAATCAGGAGGCCAGGTGTCATGTAATGACGCGGCACCCGACTTCCTTATTGGCCGGGAAGTCAGCTTCACGCTCCCTCGTCATGAGGTGATGAGGGAGCATGAAGCCGGCGTATCGGCCAATCAGAGAGCCGGGCGCCGCGTCATTACACTGCACCCGGCTTCCTGATCGACCAGCTTGTCGACCATTCAGGAAGCCGGGCAGCGAGTCATTACATGCTGCCCAGCTTCCTGATTGGTTGGGAAGCCGGCTCTATGCTCCCTCGTCACAAGTGATGAGGGAGCATGGAGGCGGCTTCCTGGCCAATCAGGAAGCTGGGCAGCATGTAATGACTCGCTGCCCGGCTTCCTGATACCGGAAGCTCGGGTAGCCGGCCAGGCATCAGAGCATTTGGGAGAGTACGAGTACTTGCCCAAATACTCAGCATCGGCACCGATACTAGTATCGGTATTGGTGCATCCCTAATAGAGACCATTTAAGATAAAGATTATGTCACCTCCAGCTCCAGTTACGGTTTTGGACCTTGTGCCGGGTTTTGTGGTTGCGCAGCAGACAGTCATATGGATAAGAAAGGGATATTATAGGGATACATATGTGTCACATGACTTCCTCCCCTCCACTGATTGATGTTGTTTCCTTTTTTCCCCCCCTTGTAGGTTCCTCCACTATTGCGCTGCAGAAGGTATTGGAGGTCGTACCCCAGGAAAGTTAAGCCGCCGCCAATGCTCCGCCTCCACCAACGCGCACAAGAAAAACGGTATTTTGTACGACGACGGAATCGAGAAAATCTTCAGAACGATCTTTTATTTTCGTTTTTTTTATAACTTCAACCCAGATACCTGCGGGAGGGGGATGGGGGGCGGGCAGCAGCAACGTATCAAATTCAGCGGTCCCAACACGGACTGTTTCTGCCCGTGTGCAAGATCTTCATCTGATTTCCAGAACTCCGCCTCCCTACCGCCCCCTCCCCCGGACCACGACACGCATTTTGTATCTCGCCCGTTTTTTATCTTTTTAGAATGCAGTTACCTCATTAAAAAAAAAGCCACAAAGAAAACGCGGCCCGCGTGCTCCGACTCCGGACTGTCTGTAGGACTTCTGATCCATTTTCCCGGAGACGCCGCGGCTCTGCTCAAACTACTGACAATCCCCCCTCCCCCGCTCTCTGCAGAACTCCCACGTTCAGTCCCTACTTCCTTTCCCCCATCACCCGGAGAAATGTTACTTCCTTATTTTTTATACGCGGCCCAAAGTGTTGTTTTTTGCAGATTTCACTGAAATGTCGAAATATCGGGACTGTAGGCCGTCATGCAGTACGTAGAGGATTCGTAGGATGAGCAGGATGTTTTTTAATGCTGTTTTAGTTACTAATTTAATTTTGACTTCTTATTAGTTTCTATCGTTTCATTTTATTTATTCCCGTATCTATATATGTCATAAAAGAAGAAAACGCGTTAGACGGACTGTCGGGTTGCCGAGATTCTTATTACTTTATAACTAGCGGCGACGATTATTATTATGTAACTAACTTCACTGCCTTGGAAAGGGTTATATTCGGGGCAACTAAATAATCGCTTGTAATGCCGATCTCGCCGTGTTGGGGCTCGTTCACACCAGATGCGGTGCGTTCCGGCCCCCGATTCCGGCCAGAACGCACTGCATCGCATTGCGTGCGGGGCGGCTCACTATGTTCTGGGGCTCGAGGGGACATGGCGGTCCATTGAAGTGAATGGCACCCTAGCCACGCCCTCTGGCCGCACGGGATCTCGAGGTACATGATGCCTGCGGTCCGGTCCGAACAAAACAGTGCTTGCAGCATTTAGTTCGGACCGGGCCGCAGGTGTAGTGTGCCTTGCGATCCCATGCGGCCGGAGGGCGTGGCTAGGGTGCCATTCACTTCAATAGACAGCCACGCCCCCTCCTGCCTAACACAAAAAAGTGAGCCGGCCGCAATGCAAGGCAGTGCGTTCCGGCCAGATTTGGGCCGAAACGCACTGCATCTGGTGTGAACGAGGCCTTACACGTGCACTGCTGTGTGTTGTGCACACTCGCTGCCGTGGACGGAGATACATTGTTACAACGCAGTGCTTTCTTTTTTAACTTTCAGCTATTGCTTATGCGCGGCGCTGACTTTTTTGTGCACCGTGTCTGTATGTTTCCTTTACACCGCAATAGCATTTGCTAAGGGGGGGGGGACTATCAAAACTGGAGCAGATTTGCACTGCAGCCAATCAGCATCTCTCTCTCATTTTCAAATCTTACCTGAGCAAACTGGAGAGAGAAGCTGATTGGTTGCCATGAGCAACTGTTCCAGGTTCTGTTTGCTCCACTTTTGATAAATTCCCCCCCCCCTGCTGTGTCCTTGCATTGAGACAGCAATCAGATCTTTAGGTGTGAACGAGCCCTTAATGTTCATGTCTGGGCAAAATGTTGATCTGTCAGAAATCCAGGCAGCTGGAATGAGCTGACAACGCGGCCTCTGCTGCACTGAAATCCCAAAAGTGTTGTCAGCCCCGCCCAGTTTTACTGGGCTATAGAAACTCTTCCCCCTTGTATTATAAAGAGAGGGAGTTTAGTAGTCCAGCAAGAGAGAACCGGGCAGGGCTGACAACACTGGTTGGGTTTTCAGTGCAGCAGAGGCAGCGTTGTCAGCTGATTAAAGGAAGTCAGAAGCTCGCTGGATTTCTGGCAGATCGATAGATATTATCATGTACCAGCAAGAGACAACGGAAGGTAAAATCTGCATATCACAGAGATGTGTTTTTTTATAATATCCGCCCTGACACGCACTTTAAGCTTGCACGTGCTCTTGAGGTATGCGGTGCACCCGGCACAGATACATGTGCATTGTATATACACCTCCGCGCAAACACTCCATGGCCCCACATCCTGGAAGTCGGCTAAACTGGATAAGGGCAGCGCAGATACTTCAGAAGCGTTCGTGTCACAATGCGCCCCCCCCCCTGGGATTCGTAGGTGCGCATAACCACTAGTGGCGAAGCGCCGAAGTAGCGTCGGGTTATTTTTTTCTCACTTGAATTTAGTTGTTTTCTCAGTAACATCGTTTTCTGGTCAAAGCGACCGGCAGCTA